CAACACGCCCTGCCCCAGGCATTTGAGGTTCCTGTTGCTCTGGCTGAGGCCTACCATCTACCCACCTCCACATCAAATGCCCTCTTTTCTCCTGAAAGGTTTCTAGATGTTAAGGCCTGTTTTTTCCTTATGTAATCTTCTTTCAAACTAGAGGGAAAAGTTATTCAAGACCAGAGAAAGGCCAAGACGCTGGTCCCCACCACCTGTTGTTTTTAAAAAAATGGTCTGTCTTCCACTCAAATGAACACTTGGGCCCCCAAGGTAATGTTTTGATTATTCGGTTAATTTTCCAAGGTGCACGATAATGGTAAATAATTAAGATGGGTGCCAGATGTTTGGGCACAGGCGCAATTTCAGTGTTTGCCATTGCTATTTTCCTTAGATACGCCTCTGACAATAGGTTAAAATGAGAACCAAAGTGCCCACTGGTCTGGATAATGTGAACATTGTTGTTGACCCTGGGTAGAGTCGTCTTAATCAAGTAGTAGGGGAGGTGAGGTTCCTTCTTAAGAAAAGACATGAGTAGTGTTTTGAGGAGGCAAGAACGTCACCAGAAGTTACTTTAGGATAGAGAAATGTGAACATATTTATAAATTGATAGAAGGTAATTGGTAGAGAGGAGACTTAGTAGTGCAGTAGTTAAGCACTTGGCTGCTAACCGAAGGTTGGTGGTTGGAACTCACTAGCCACTCTGTGGGAGAAAGATGTAGCAGTCTGCTTTGGTAAAGATTACAGCCTTAGAAACCCTATGGGGCAGTTCTACCTTGTCTACAGGGTCACTATGAGTTGAAATCAACTCAACAGCAGTGGAAGAATTCTCACCTTTCCCACGGGTGACCTGGGTGCAATTCACAGCCTGTGTACCTCACTGTACAGTCACTACCCCTCTGTCAGTGAGCCATGCTTGTAGCTATGATGTTGAACAGGTTTTAGCAGAGCTTCCAGATAAAGATGGACTAAGAAGAAAGGCATGGCAATCTACTTCCAAAAATCAGCCAGTGAAGGCTTTCTGGTCCGATAGAGCCTGGTGGAAGCCCTGAGACTGTGGCCCCTAGCTGCCCTTCAGGTCTAGAAGTGAACCCGCCCCTGTGGCTTCCTGCCAAACAAAAGACAAGCCTATGAACTGAACATTTACATTTGGTAGAAACACTCCTTGGAGAGATCAATCATGGGAGAATAGAAGGGATGTGTATGCACGGGGAGATAGCTCAGGGGGCAGGAGTGCATGGGAAAGAAGTGGGAGGGGAGCTGTTAAATTGTGGGAGATTGCAGTCAATGTCATGAGACAAAGTGTACGTGAGCTGCTGTATGGAAAATGAATTCGCTCTGTAAACTTTCACCCGAATCACAATAAAATTTTTAAAAAATCAGCCATTGAAAGCACTATGGATCATAATGGTCCAACCCACAAATGATCTTGGTGATGGCACCAGACCAGGCAGTGTTCCATTCCACCATGCATGGGGTTGCCACAAGTTAGGGGCTGACTCAGAGGCAGCTAACAACAGTAACAAGCCAGTAGAGAGGAAGAGGCTGAAGACAGACGAAAAGAGGGCAAATGACGGAGAAATGCCCCAAATGAAACGGACGTGCATGAGACCAGAATCAAGTCATGGTTCTTAAACTTGATAGTGCATCAGAGTCATCTGGAGAGCTCATCAAAACACAGACTTCTAGGGCCCATCCCACAGTTCCTGATTCAGTAGGGTGGGGCCTGAGATTTTTCATTTCTAAAAAGTTCTCAGGTAATAATTATGCTGCTGGTCTGGGGACCACTCTTGAAGAACCATTACAGTACAGACAAAGTAAGGACAGGTACAGATGTAAGTTTATAGGTGACAGGTAGAAAGGACAGGAAGTTGAGAGGTAGATGGTGAGGTCACAGCAAGTAGAGTTGTCTTCTGAAGAGTAAGAAGAACTAGTACTTATAAAGAAGGCTCCTTGAGACTGTGCCCCTTAGATACTCTTCAAGCTAAGAAATTAACTTAACTCCCATGACTCAACTGGTAATCAAATGATAGCCAGACCTATAAGGTAAACTGTAACATCAGGAGGGTATGCACTCATTATAACAATCAAGCATATAAGATTAAGAGGACAGCATTTGCCCAGGGATAGAGCTAGGAAGGTGGGAGGGGGTGGGAAGGAAGAACAAAAGGAAGGGGTGGACGCAGGGAAAAAGTGGGAAGAATGCTCTCACAGTGTGGGAGTTGCAGTAAATGTTACAAAACAGAATATGTACAGATCGTTCCATGGAAAACAAATTTTCCCTGTAAACTTTCACTCAAATCACACACACATAGCAGAAAATGAGAGAAGAGGTTAAAAAAAGAAGAAGAAGAAGAAAAAGAAGGCTTAAAGATTTAAAATGTCACAGATAGGAAAAGGAGCTGTCCAAGTATAAATAAAAGGACGGAAAAGTCCAACTGAGACTACCTTTTCCCCATTGCCATTGAGCAACTCCTAATCATAGCAATCCCACAGGACAGAAGAGAACTGCCCCATAGGGTTTGCAAAGTTGTAAATCTTTACAGAAGCAGACTGCCACATCTTTCTCCCACAGGGTGGCTGGTGGGTTCAAATCCCCAACGTTTTGGTTAGCACCCAAGTACTTAACCACCATACCACCAGAGCTCCTTGGGACTAGAAACCCTGTATTTGTACTGTCACAATCTAAGATTATGCCTTTTCCCCCAGTAGCACTCAATCCTACCTAGGTAAAAGAAAGAAAAAAGTAGATGGTAGCATTAGTTAAGAGTTGTAATTTTGTCAACAGGTCGGTCGGGCAGAAAATTAAAATGAATGGTAAAAGAGTACATTAGATGATTAAGTCTAGGATCCAGTTGGATAAGAAAGGAAGTTTTAGAGTGAAGTACTGCTATTTTATTTTATTTTATGGTCTGTACCTCCCATGTACCTCTCTATGTCTTCCTCTTCCTCAATGCCACCATATTGATCACTCACATTTGGTACACTGCCTTTCCCTTCACCTAAATCAATACTTGTCTCTACCTATCTAGCAGTGTTCACTCCCCTCTCTTCTCACCTCTGGTAACCAACAAAGAAAGTTTCCTTCCATATATAAACCTTTCCTTGACTTTTTACAATAATGACCTAATACTGTATTTGTCCTTCTGTGATTGATTTATTTCACTCAACATAATGTCCTCCAAGTTCATCAATGTTATGTGATGTTTTGTAGATTCTACATTATTCTTTAGTGTTGCATAGTATTCCATCGTATGTATGTACCATAGTTTGCTTATCCATTCTTCTGTTGATGGACACCTAGGTTGTTCCCATCTTTTTGCTATTATAAACAGTGCTGTGATGAACATGAGTATGCATATATCTGCTCTTGTCCTGGCTCTCACTTCTGCTTTCCACAGTGGTTGTACCATTTTACAGTCCCACCAGCAGTGTATGAGAGTCCCAATCTCTCCACATCCTCACCAACACTTGTTATTTTCTGTCTTGTTGAACTTTGCTATTAGTGCTGAGTTGAGATGGTATCCCACTGTTGTTTTGATTTGCATCTCTCTAATGGCTAATGATCATGAACATTTCTTCATGTGTTTTTGGCTGCCTGAATATTCTCTTTGGTGAAGTGGCTATTCATGTCTTCTGCCCATTTTTTACTTGGATTGTTTGTCTGTACTAATATTCTTGAAAAGCAATCTAACAAGTCTAAGTGTTGCAGATATTCTTATATCTTCAGATACAGTCAATTCTCTTCATAAACACTTGTTCTGTGTATCTAGAGTGATACATTCCATAGCTCAATACTCTCACATAAGTCCAGAAAGAACATTTCATATCTGTTCTCCCTGTGCCACCACTGGTTTCTTTCATTTATGTTGTTTTTCAAGTCATTCTCTCAGTTCTCAAAACTCTCTGAATTGAAATAAACTGTTGTTTCTATAGTGCTCAAATAAATAAAGCAATTGTCTTCTTACTTTTCTCTCATATTCCCCCTAAAACAACTTTTTACAATCTGGGATCTTCTCTTACTTGTTAATTATATATTTAATGCTTTTACTGAATCACAAGTTTAAATATGGATAAAATATTTACCACTGTATGAGATAAAGTAAGATAAAGATTCATAGTATGAAAACAAATGCTTCATCTTATAATATCATTTCTATGGATTTAATGGACTTCAATTAATTATTAAAGGAGGCTTCCCCAAAACTATTATTTTGACTTATCTTTTTATTTGGCACACCAGGTTCTTATACCACAGGGCAATATACCACATTAAGACTGGGAGGGGAATGTGCTTTCTTTTGCAACATGGGAAAAGAGCTAACTATTATAAACATAGATTCTTTTCAGACCAGTTTTAGGAAATATAGTGAAACCTGTGACAGTCAGAACTCAAAGAGATTGCCTTGTTTTTCTCGGTCTCACTAGTTTTCTGCCTCTGACAGGGTGCAGTCTTACCACTTTCCTATTGCTCTCTATTAGTGGAAAGTACTTGAGTTTTCCTTCTGGGAAAGGTTTCTGCCTTATACAGGTTCCAGCTTTCGCAGGTTTTACTACAGTACAAACGGAAGTCAGGGATCTGAAAATTGAATCCCTTAAAATTGCATACCCCTTGGCAAGTCTCTGAAACAACTAGATGGCAGTGAGTTCGGTTTGGAGTTTTGGTTGGCAAGTCTTTAAGAACCTACAGAGGTCTGCAGACCCCAGTTTTAAGACCACTGGTTTTGTGCATAACACAATAGATTGACTACTATTATCTGCTATCCAGCAAGTACAGTGAGAGGCAGTTTACATATATTATCTGTAATCTTTAACAACCCTATGTGATAAGTGAGGCATTATCTTCACTTTACAAATGAGGAAAATGAGGAAACCTTTGGGGATTAAATGAGTTGCCCAAGGCTTTACAGCTGGCAAGTGACAAGAGTGGGATATGAATTCAAATGTGACTCAGAGCTCGTGTCCTTTTCACATCACACTGCACACACCCACCATCAGCAGATCTTTCTTACCTTTAGTACATCGGTGGGGTTAGCTATAGTGGAAGATATCACTCCTGACACTACCCCACAGATCATATTAATTAGAAGAGTTTCATCTGTAAAAAGGGGGAAAAAAAAAACAAAACCGAAAGGTCTGTTTGTGTTAGCTTCCAGTTTCTAAGAACAGAATACTGAGCTATCAGAGGAAGGAAACCTCAGGCATAGAAAAGACTTTAGGAATGAACCACAAACCTCAGGAAAATAAATTCAAATATTGCTAGATCCCAAATCAGCACTGAAATATATAAAAATTGTTAAACAGACATCATTATTTTGAAAAAATAATGTCCCTGGGACATGTCTTATTTACTTATATAACTGCTAATATCCCACATATTTGTTATTTCCCCATTCAACCATTTCAAACATCTTTTTTTTAAAAAAAAAAAACACTTTTTCTGTCTTCTTCTGGGGAAACACCAATGCTAATGACTCAGAAACTGAATGTTAAAAGATAAATTCTTATGTCTCATAGAACAAATGGTCTAAACATTATTTTTGATTGCTTTAAATGTATCCAAGCCTCTACTGATTTACAGAAGGCTTCTGCAGTCACATGTGAAAAAGCTATCATGTGAAACAAAGTCTCCTCAGTTAGAAAAAAGAACAAAGAAACCATGGAGCATATTGTTCCAAAGCTGAAAACTCAATCTTCACCACTCCTCCTCACCATGAGGAGCCTACAAATAGAAACTAGATAAACACAAATGAAGATTCTGTGAAAGGAAATTGTTTCAGAAAGAGATGAGGGGAACCCTTCAGGCTCCTTTAAGAAGAGGCTCCAGGAAGTTGACTTAGGACAATAAAGTGATGCAAAGGACATTACCCACAGAAGGGCTCTCCAGATGTCCCAAACCATCCAGCAGCCCCAGGCCTGTAGTAAAATAACCATTTAGTATAGTATCAGGCTGGAAATGCCAAGCAGCAAATAGAGAAACACAGGATAATACTGAGTGCGGGTAAGGTGGCCACCAGTACATCGGACTCTAGACTGTAACAGCCTAACATGATTCCACCTGAGATAAGCTTATCAAAACTGGCAGCTAGAGAATCTGCTATAGTTGAAATCCTTTTGCTGATGAAGACAGCATTTGTTTCTCTGGACAAGAGTGTCCCATGGTCCCTCTGGAATGGCCAGAACCTTTTTTTTTTTTTTTAATTGATGAGAAAAGGGACAAACCTGAAGAACAGGCCCTTCAACCCATATATCACTCCTGCAAGGACTTTTCCCAAATCAGCACAAGCACATTTTGTTCTTACAATAACTGCCAGCCATCCTCAGGCACCCCGTAATGAAACTACACATGATTTCAATAATCTCTAATAACCCCTTTGAGTATCACTCCAAAAGAGAAGGAGGGGTCTATACTGACCTTCCAAACGTTCTACAAATAATCGTTTCAAGCTTTGGTAAATGCCAATTTTAATGGTGCCATATGATGCCTGTCTTAGTAAAGCAGGGGCAATTCTGCCAAAAAGAAAGAAGGAAAGAAAAGTCAATTATATTCAATATATCTTTGCAGTTTATGGATATCTAGACAGCCACTACCCACCTCATTCCACCCAACAACAGCAGGAGATACAGTTTTTCAAGCACTCATGGAACATTCACCAAGACAGACCATACCCTGGGTCATAAAACAAACCTAAATAAATTGAAAACAATTACAATCATACAGAGTATGTTCCTCAATCATAAGGGAATCAAACTAAAAATCAGTAAGAAAAACAACAGGAAGCTTCTCCAACACTTGGAAATTAAACAAGACACTTCTAAACAATCCATGGGTCAAAGAGGACAACACAAAAGAAATTAAAAAAGAAACAAGAACCAAATGAAAATGAAAATTCAACATATTAAAAAAAATGTGGAATGCAACTAAAGCAGTGCTGAGAGTGAAATTTATAGCATAAAATGCTTACATTAGAAAAGAATAAAAGTCTCAAATCAATAATCTAACTTAGTACCTTGAGAAACTAGAAAAAGGACAAAATAAGCCCAAAGTAAACAGAAGGAAATAATAAAGAGCATAAACATATAAAATTGAAAACAAGAAAATAGAGAAAAATCAATGAAACAAAAGTCTGACTCTTTGGGGAAAAAAAATCAATAAATTGGTAAACCTCTAGCAAGACTCAAAGATAAAAAGAAAGAAGACACAAATTACTAATATCAGGATATAACAGGGGCTATAAGTACAAATCCTGCAGCTATTAAAAGACAAGGGAATATTATAATTTTATGCATATAAATTCAACAACTTAAAAGAAACAGACTAATTTCTCAAAAACCACTAACTACCAAAACAAGGATGAAATAAATCATTTAAACTGTCTCACAACCATTAAAGAAATTGAATCCATAATGAAAAAACTGCCAAACGAGAAATCTCCAGGTCCAGATCATTTTACTAGGGAATTCTATCAAAAATTTGAAGATTAACACCATTCTCACACAATCTCTTCCAGAAAATAGAAGAGGGAATCCTAATACCAAATTCAGACAAAGACTACAAAAAAGAAACTTACAGACCAATATCTCTCATGACCTTAGATTCAAAAATCCTCAACAAAATATTACTAAATTGGATCCAAAACCAAACCCAACCCCCTGCTATTGAGTCCATTCAGACTTATGACAACCTCCACAGGGTTTCCAAGGCTGTCAATCTTTATGGAAGCAGACTGCCTAATCTTTCTTCCATGGAACAGCTGGTGGGTTTGAACTGCCAACCTTTTCGTTAGCAGCCCAATGCCTTAACCACAGCGCCATCAGAGCTCCTTAAATTGGATCCAGTGATGTATAAAAATAATTATACACCATTACCCACCTCATAAGAGACTTAAAAAAAAAAAAAAACCCTCTACTTCCTAACAGTTGCTGATACATCTTTAAGTCATCAATAAGAGTTATTGGAGCCAAGATCTCAAATCCTGTTTAAATTCTGCTTACAAACTGGAGGTATTCTCACTTATACTTCCCTTGAAAGTCTTCCAAATTGTAGAACTATACTTTTGGAGTTATAAATAGGAAGTCACTGATAGCTCAAACAGTTAGGATTAAAAAGTGATGACTAAATATGCATATTCCTGATTTTATTACTTGCTATCAGAAAAAAAAATCTTGTGATTAACTACGCTGATAAAAGAACAAGGTGAGTCAGACAATCCATATATCACTGCCATTTAGCGTCAGGATGTATTATTTTATTTTTTTCCCCTACAACTATCAGAGGCTAATGTTAAAATTGATGTCCATTCTCTGAATACATAAACTGGTGGCCAAATGCAGGGGTAGCCTAGGAATCTGGCAGCAGATAAACTATAAACTGGACAATAAACCACAAAGTGATGACTAATCAAAAGATGACCAAAAATAAATAAAAAATGGCTCTTTCTCATACTACATTTTCTGTTTAAACTGCCAGAATTATTATTTGTTTAAAAAGGAAAATTTTATAAGAAGTTCAGTATCTGCCAATTCAGAAAGAATATCAAAGGAATACAGACAGTTAACTGATACTGCTATTGACAGTGGCTGTCAATGACCTTCATGATGCAATGTTATACTCCCCATTTTAAATGTATCACTTATAGCCAGATAAACACAAAATCGAAAGCTCAAGACTTGCAAGCTGGTGAAAAATAAACTGGAATGTCAATACTCAATTACAAATTCAGATGACAAATATGAAGCACACACACTGGATTATGGCTCCTTTCAAAAACATTTCTGTTCTAATTACTGCTGATAGATACTTGGTGAGGTATCTTTCCACATGTGGTCTGGTGCTACCCCATTTCATGAATCTCCTGCCCAAATAAAACTCATCTAAAACATTAAAAAAAATTCTATTCATGATATAAGGAAAAAAAGCCAATCTTACCCTGAATACAGAGCCAATACACCTTCTTCTTTATAAATTCGGAATAAGGCATGAAACATCCCTCTGTATTTTATCTCTTTGAAGCGGACATCGATGCTTTGGCCTTGAACTTGAAGTCTTGTCTTAGTAAGGTCCACAGGAAAAGTTCCTATTTAAAAACACTCATTTAGAAATATTTCCAAAGAGCAAAAGTTCAATTTTGGCTGAAGGTAAGCCAAGGAAGTCCTTTTCATACACACAGAAGAAACCTACTACAATACCACTGTCAAAGGATAAGAGTCAAGTGTGGTAAAGTGAAATGTACCATACCGTGTCTATGCAGCATGATTCAACACACAGTATAACTGAAACTGTGACATACTAAGGAACTTGAAGACCTTTAAGACTTTAAAACTTTCTAGTAATGATGATATAATTCAAAATAATTTCAATTTTGTTTATTTTCATCTGTAATGTATAATGTGGCATTTATCTGTCTCTTCTCCCCACCACCCCCAACCTCAAGTCTCTCCACCTTTCCCTCATAAAACCTCCCCAAACTTTCACAAAGATTTCGCAAGGGGTTGCTGCTCCAGCTACTATAGTATTACAAAGTTTTGCTCTGTTTTATCTATTATTAAGAAACAAAGAGTCCCCTAATACTATGGAAGATAATAGTAAAGTTCTGTTTGGCTCTACTCATCCTGGTCCCTGCGGTAATTCAGGACTAACACCAGCAGAGTGCTTGGGGTGGGAAGAATAACGTATTTCTTTAGCATGGTAAAATATACATAATATTTGCCCTGTTAGCTATTTCTAAGTGCACAATTCAGTGGCATTAATGACATTGACCATGTTATGCAACCATTGCCACTATCCATTTCCAAATTTTTGCATTACCCTAAACAGAAACTCAGTACCCCTTAAGCAAGAGCTCCCCATAGTCCCCTCTTCCCATAGTCCTTGGTTGTTGTTGTTGTTGTTGTTATGTGCCATCGAGTCAAACCCGACTCATAGCGACCCCTCCTTGGGTTTCCGAGGCAGTATCACTACAGAAGTAGGGTAGCCACTAATAAATGTTTGTTGCTATACATTTCGCTATCTTAGATATTTCATGTAAGTGGGATCCTACAATATTTGTTCCTTCATATATTACTCAGACAGCATTCTTTCAAACAGCATATTTTCACAGAACTGGGCAACATTTTGTTCCGTTATACATAAGGTCTACGTGAATCTGAAGTGACTCAATTTATCATGTATTTTTTATGTATTTCTTTAGAAACATTCTTTAAATGTACTTCTCTCATTATGTCAACACACAGAATGGTCATTACATTGATGAAATATGTTTCAAGGTCCACAAACTAACAGGATGACTATGTACCTCTGGGTACTGTTGACCCTGATTTCACAACGTCAGAGTCAAGAAAGTCAACAAAGATCAGCAGATTGTAGTCACTTATCAATAGTCTAGGAAAGAGGCAATTTGGAAGAAGAGGGGAAAATATGTAAAATATTTCCAAATTAAAATAAAATAGAGAAGGGTCTTGGTTCATGATTCACTATTCTTTTAAAATGAGTAAGAGGTTTGAAAAAAAGTTTAGATATTTACAAGGAACTTATAAACAATTTCAAAGAGGGATTACTAGTATAAAACCATAGTAGAACTCTCTGTTGTATCCAACTCCTGTATTTTCATGCATATTACTTAAGCCTGGCAAATTAACCAATCATTAGAATAACAAACATCCTAAATTTGACTTTTCTTGCTTCGACTGCTGTATCATTAGCATAGACTTTTTTTTTTTTTTTTTTTTTTTACTGTGCTTTGTGGATAGTGTGTTTTTATACCAATTGAGGGTTTGTAGCAACTCTTCATTCAGCAAGTGTATCAGGGTCATTTTTCTAACAGTACATGCCCCCTTTTTTTTTTATCTGCATCACATTTTGGTAATTCTCACAATATTTTAAACTTTTTCATAAAACTATTGTACACTTAATAGACTACCAAAAAACCCACTGCCATCGAGTTGATTCCAACTCATAGTAATACTATAGGACAGAGCAGAACTGCCCATAGGGTTTTCAAGGCAGTAAATCTTTACAGAAGCAGACTGCCTCACCCTTCTCCCTCAGAGTAGCAGGAGGGTTTGAACCACTGAATTTTTGGTTAGCAGCCCAATACTTTAACCACAATGTCATCAGAGCTCCTTCAACAGACTACAGTATAGTGTAAACATAACTTTTCTATGCACTGAGAAATAAAAAAAAAATTTGTATGACTCGTTTTATTGTAATATTCCCTTTACTGCGGTGGTCTAGAACCAAACCCATGATATCTCTGAGGTATTCTGACAGTACCTTCTCAGAAAACATTACTCGATGGCTTTGAGATAATAATTTGCGAAACAAAAAGGGTGAACTTCTTTTTACTTTTTCTCCAGTTTTCATGAAAAATAATTGCCGCGTTAGCTACCATTTATACCATAAGGAGCAGATTTGTCAATTTTCACATTCTTACCAAACTCAGCAACGATAGAGGCAAGGCCGCCATATACAAAGGGTTTCCAATTCAGACCAGACATCTCATGGCTTACAGTGGTACTTTTCTGGTGCTAAAAATAAACATAAATCAGAACAAGGCACAAAAGTGGGGAGCATTTGTTAGTGTCCGATCATATCATTCATAACAACAAAATTGGCAAATAAAAGATACAAAGGAAAAACCTCACCAATTGTGATGACACAAAATGGGGCATCCTGTTTTATGTGCTAGATAATCATGACTTTGTTCTTTACTGCCATTCTGTAGCAACAGACACGAGATTTCACTCAAAGCCCTTGCCCTTCATTCTCTACTTTTTGTCTTACCCCATCCCCACCCAAAGAGACTCAGTCCATCCAACACACTCAACTTAGACATTCAACTAGACAATTACAAGTGAAGGAACCAGGAGTTCAAATTCTATAGGCCAAGGCATCTCATAAAAGCAGTTCATAGTATTCAATTAGCTTGTTTCAGGTGCAAAGCACTAGCTCACACTCTGAGCCTTCTCCTCTCTCCACTAAACTTCAAAATTTTAGTTCATCTAGCTTCTTCTAGCTATACCCAACTCGTCCGCATTAGGAGCACTGAGCTAAGCACCTTTTCCATCTTCCTCCTAGCCACAACAGGAACGACAGCGATATGGATGATGCCTCCCTTCTCTCTGACGTTTAACATACAGCCATCTAGAGGATCTCCTTTTCCTTCTCTGGGGCCTTTTAAAACACATACATACAAATACTGTTTTTCCTTGTATGTTCTATTTAACAATATACTCTGCTCCCCTTCCCCTCTCTGACCTAGCATCTACAATCTTTTCAGCTTTTTCCTCTCTGTTTCTGACATTCCCAGCTCTTTCTCTGGTGCATTTTATTTTTCCCACAGCTCTGACCTCTAGGCCAGTGGTTTTCAAATTTTAGTGTGCACCAGAATCACCTATAAGGCTTATCAAAACAAAACATATATTGCTGGGCCGCACCTCAAGTTTCTGACTGCAAGTCTGGGTCTTGTCCTGATAATTTGTGAGTTCTCAAATAATTCTCCCACTTCCACATGGTAAGCACTGCTGCTCTCAGCATACCAACTGAATCCCAATCCAGCTGAAAGAAATCTCTTCTTAGGCTGGGCTCTCAGATTTCTTTGAAATATTTCTTTCTCAGAGTTTCACAGTGTGTATACTTCTGAACTTCACAAGCAACTTCAAGTGGTTTATGGTCAGGAGTAAAGACTCTGAAGTCAGACTGGCTAGGTTTGAATCCTGACTCCACCACTTACTAACTCTGTGACCTTGGCAAGTTACTTAACCTCTTTGTGCCTCTGTTTTCTCAACTATAAAATGACAATATTAATAAAAATTGTATCACAGAGTTACTGTGAAAATTAAATAATATATGCAAAACACCTAGAAATGTGTCTAACACCAAGCTTAATAATCTTAGCTATTATTATTCCATTTTTGAAAATTTAAGTGTCCAAATTTACATCTTAACAGGTATTACTGGCTGCCCAAACTACTACCCTCATCCCACTCACCCAATCTGGGGATTAGGGCCATTAAGTCACAGTCTCTTTTCAAGGAAGACGGTGTTTTGCTTTGTTTTGACATAAGGAATTCTCTGTAACTAAGCACAGAAGAACAATTTTCAAGAGAGGATGGCAAACACGCAGGCTAATGTTTCGGTTCAGGGCACAAAAACAATTATGGAAAGTTCTTTTCAATATAGTGTTATCAGCCAGCCCATCTGACAATACAGAGTGTGGGATACAAAACCCTTTTGGAGGAAACTCTAAAAAGCAAAATAGGAATAATAATAATTTTAAAAAAACATCGCTTTTAAATAGATTCTGATTCATAGTGACTTTATAGGACAGAGTAGAACTGCCCTGTAGGGTTTCCAAGGCTCTGGTGGTATAGTGCCTAAGGCATTTGACTGCTAACCAGAAGGCTGGCAGTTCAAACCCACCAGCCACTTCTTGGAAGGGAGACTGGACAATCTACTTCTGTAGAGATACTGCCTCAGAAACCCTAGGAGGGGTCACTGTAAGTTGGAATCAACTCAACGGCAGTGAGTTGTTGTTGTTGTTGTTGTTGTTTGGTTATTCTTTACAGAAGCAGACTGCCACATCTTTCTCCTGCGGAGCAGTTGGTAGGTTTGAACCACTGACCTTTTAGTTAGCAGGCATGCACTTTAACCACTAAGCCAGTATCAGCTGCAGCTTGAAATAAGAGTGTTGAGTACTAAATATTATCTTACCAACTTTTCAGCCATGTCTATACATTAACATTAAAATTGACAGTAAAACATGACACACATACGACAGTAGGCATGAAAAAGGGTCATTGGCATATGCCCTCTTTGAGTTGGAAGGGGAAAAGTGCACTCTTCATTCATTAATTTAAATTCCCCAAAAGTCTTAAATGTTTCAGAGTGCTCCGTTTTCTCTCCAAAGCATTCTCTTTATGACTTCTTTAAACTTTTCTCATTACAGAGAAAGCCTCTATCAGAGATTTAACACCTGCTAAACCGAGTCCATCCTGACTCACAGAGACCCTAGAGGACAGAGTAGAACAGCTCCATAAGGTTTCCCTAAAAAAGTTTTCACATCTGAGGTGAAATGAAATGAATAAATAAATAAATAAAGGCAACTAGTGCCTTGGTATCATAGAGCCTAAGGCATTTGACTGCTAACCAGAAGGCTGGCTGTTCAAACCCACCAGCCACTCCTCAGAAGGAAGATTGGGCAATCTACTTCCGTAGTGATACTGCCTCGGAAACCCAAGAAGGGGTCGCTATGAGTTGGATCCAACTCGATGGCAGTGAGTTTGGTTTTGGTTTGGTCCTGGTGGCATGGTGTCTAAGGTATTTGACTGCTAACCACAAGGTTGGCAGTTCAAACCCACCAGCCACTCCACGGAAGGAAGACTGGGCAATCTACTGCTGTAAAGGTTTACTACCTCAGAAATCCAAAGGGGGGGGGGTCACTGTGAGTCAGAATCGATTCAATAACAATGAGTAAGGTTTTTGGTTAGAGTGCCTTTTTAACAGCTAAATATACTTAATTTAAAGGACTGTTTTTCTTATGAAATCATGTTCTTCTTACTCCCAGAGCATAAAAACATATTACCTTTCTTGTGTGAAATGTTAGTAATAGTAGTTGGCAGTTGATTCAGTTTAGTGTCCTTACTTGGCAAAATAAGACTGACCATCCTATATTTGTGCCCCCTCTTCACATTTTAATTTAAATTTTATTGGTCCATGAAATCCACAAGTATGAGGACCACTGTCTAAATCCAATACTGCTACCACCACTACTACCTCCTCACTCCCGTCAGATAGTAAAAACGTTTGCCTTCCAAAAAAAAAGAAGGTGGGGACCAAGTTTGCTGGTCCAATAGAGCCTGGTGTAACCACTGAGACTATGGCCCCTAGCTGCCCTTAAGGTCTGGAATTGAACCCACAACTGTGGTTTCCAGCCAAACAAAGTACAGGCATGTGAGTTAAACATTTACCTCAAGTAGACACACGCCCTGGA